TGCAGCGGCCACTCCAGCGGAAACGTTAGCTTTACAGTATATGGTGGCTGCTTCAACAACTGATTTCGTAATAAACTGAAGAAATGTAGAAGAAAAGTGAGTGTGGACAATATTTGTATTAATGCTAATTATAATCTCCGTGAGTTCAAGCCAACAAACTTTAGCTTATAGAAAAAATGCATTTTTATAACCTTCATGTTATTTTTTGCTGAAGTAATAGGTTGCATTGTTTGCTCCAGTAAATGGCGGCACAAGCATATTTTCCTTCTTCTCCAAAATCAGGGAAAGTGTCTGATCAAACAAAGGCTCTACGTTTTAGTATGGGAAAAACATGAATAAAGTGGAGAACAGGGGAAACCTACACTGCATAACTGGGCCACCAGTGCAACAAAGCTGCCTGCAATATCCATTGTCTCACTCCTCACTGCCCCACTTGCCCTGACACAAGTGGCTCACGAACAAATGCAAAGTCAAAATAAATAAACAATCTATTAAGCAGGGGGCTGTGGGGAAAACGCTCAAGATTTCCATTGTTGGGAATGCTTTATTTGCCCCTTATCTACTGGGTAGCGAGCGCAAAAGAAGCATCGTGTAAGCATTACGATTACATCGTTTGGGTTTGTTACCCAGGAATGTAAGATGCACTCAGCTCATTCTGCTGTGCAACACACAGGGTCCCTCACCAGCCTTCCAAAGCATCTCAAGTGGAGGGGTCTGAGGGAGCAAGACGCATGCAAGGATAATCTTATTAGCTCCGTTGAAAGCTACTGATGGGCTGTGTTGTTGTACTGTATGTCCTTGACAAAATACAAACACCCCTCATTCACAAGCTTTCCCTATTCAAATATTGAGCAGTGCATAGTGATAGCAGTCCAGATTGTTTTCTGAAGGAATGCAATTAAGATGCTGCACCTTAGGTGTAAAGGTACATTAAAGACAGGTATATTTTGTAATGCAGAAAAAACATAAAATATGAATTACATTTTTCCCTGCAGCATTTATAAAACGATTGACTGATTCAAATCATGAATAAATAATCTCAAAAGAAGTATCAACCATACTTTTTTAAAAACCTAGTGTAGCAGTAAAAAGGTGGACTCATTGTAGGATGACATGGAAACATGTAAATGATACAGTCACATGTCACAGTTTACAAAAGGGTGAGAAGGCCTAGCGCTAAACCAGTTTGCATTGCATATCAGGGATTTGATATGTGTGTGTGGCGGGGTGTGACTAATTCCTGCTAAATGGCCCTTACTTGAGGGGCTGGTCCCCGTCGGCTGTAGGCCATACTTAGTGCCATCTGGGCACACTGTTAAGTTTCACTGGTGAATGGGAGCCACAACCACCAAATCCCCAATCCCCCCCTTCCCCTTTGCCTTCCAGGGCCAAGGGCAAGCCCTAAGTGCAGCGTTAAACACAGCATGGAAACCTAAGTATGTGGTTTCCTCTGAGAGCCATTGAGTTCGGGAACACCTCCTCAGTCGGGATATTGAACCCACGACAGGTCCTCCAACCACCAGCAAGCACTTGCACTGTCTCCTTCAGGGGCCTCATCCCCTCACTGACCTTATCCAATGCAAACACATGCAGCCTGAGCCAGCGTATTCTGTTTTATTGCTAGATTCAGCTAATCTCGCTATAGGGCTCAGACTCCTCCTCCCCCTTTGCCCCTCAGTGTTTTAGTTATTCCAGCTGTGCAGGAGCCCTTAATGTTGTTGGCATAGCTGCGAAATGTGCAAAAACACACATTGTACACACAGGAAAACATGTGCAGGCATGCAGGGGCACAGAGAGGTGCACACACACATGCATGCACACAATCATGAACACACATACTCCACCCTTGCTCCATTCATTTTCTCCCCCTCTTATCCTACTTTTGCTCACAATCTCCCTCAATCGTCTCCATCTCCCATCTCTCCCCTCCCCTCTAACTCGCTGCGCTGCGGTGCGTTTGTGCCGTGTTGATAAGCCTAAGATAGCAGATCTCGGTGGTCGCTGATGTAATGATGATGAATGCTGTGGCGCTGCCAGTCTCCCCCTCGGGGGGCCCTCGACACTGAACAGTCGCCCTAATGAAATGAACACAAATACAGTACCCCGTCTGTGAGGGGGGGTTGCCAAATCTAAGAAGACACTTCAAGAGTTTGTATAAAAATGTCCCTCAGTTTCTGAGTGTGCCATGCATTTGCAAATGTGATCCTAATGACAGAATGCAGTGCAGATGGAAGTACACCTTAAGCAGTTTCATAGAATTAAGCTTGTGAAGATGGAGCCTTTAAATAACAAAAGGCAGTGATTTCTGATAGGGTTAGCAGTCATTTAAGCTTGCATGAAGAAAGAAAAAAAGAAACTGATTTTTTTTTCTATCAAAGGCAAAAGTTTATTTTAGTGTTTCACTTTGATGTGTACAATTTGCAGTTGACTTTCAACTCAGTGCCTTTGTCACAAAGGCGTATAATTTATGTTAAATTGATTTGCTTAATGTGCTTATAAAATAAGAATGTTTTTTCTGGGGGAACAGTCTGAATTGTGGTATTTTAAACCTGTTTAATCGCCTCCCTTTCTGTGAGGAAGGATTACAGTTTAGCACAAATACAGATACACCCTCTTTCTCGCTTCTCTAATTGGGTGTAGGACAGCCATTTCATTGGAAAGACATTAATATGAAATTAACATTAATTTTGAGTCACAACAGCAACCAATACCTCGTTGTAATTCTTTTGTGTCAGGCCTCTGTGACACACAACTCATGCAGGTACTCTCGATAAATATGCTAATTTCTCTGCTGTGTACATTAGTGGCTCTTTAGTGGAGGTGCTTAAAGAAAATGACATTCAGACTAGGGTTAGTTACTCAAGGACAAACACAGGAAAATGATGTTGATTGATACAAACGAAGACTGAAGGAAGTGTTTTTGTAGAGTTATATAGTGTTTTCGAAGTTGGAGAGGGGCAAAAATGAGCAACACGAAAGGCGTAAGGAAAGACAGGAACATCTGCAGGATTGGGTGTGGGCGTACAGGTCAGAGGGATTATGGGTGAAAAGGTCCTGCTTTTAATTGCTGCTTTGGAACTGTGGCCTGCCTAGTGGAACACAAAAGACCGGTCGGACACGCTTCAGTGGCTCGGACTTGTGAGTATTTGCCCGACCACAGGAATGCCTCCCTTTCTCTTCACCTCCCCTACAAACCCCGATCCTGACCCTCATATTCACTGCACTTTCGGCTCTTTCAACCTCACCTGGGGGCGACAGGAAGACACACACATACATGTATGATCACTCTACACGCAAAGCATGTTGGGAGCTGTTCAGTAAGGGCGGTAAAGTAGGTTCCCTCCCAGTTCTTTTTACCCCGTTCACTGCTTTTGCTCAAGTTCAGTCATTATAGTGATGTAATGACAGTTTCAAAGAGGGAGACCAAAAAGTTTCGTTTGATCACGCTCTTGTTTCAGTTTCTGCTGATGAAAGTGAATGAGTGGCACCTATGATCTGTTATAGTGGTAGGAACTCACAATTGCATGAGCAGACGTACATGCGCCGCACATATTCCGACGATTAACTCATACTGAGAAGAAATGAAAGCATTCCCTCTAACATGAAGCAGTGATTTGAGATGATATCTGTGCAAGTAGGACAAAAATGTCTTTGGTTGTGGATGACGGCTACACATGTATTCATGTGGGAGTGATTAGAGGACGAGCTCTTGTTTAATTCTGTTTTGATTGGTAAGGGAGTAATTGCATTGTGTTTTTTTCCCCTTCTCTTTTTTTGTAAGCCAGCAATTGCTTACAGATGTTGTTGTCGGGTCAGAATGGATGACAGACTCTGGTTTTTTAGGGGGTTGGGAAAAAAAACAAACAAAGCTCACAGTGTTTGTCTGAAGTTTACTCCCCTCACCACTTCCCCCTCGCTTTCCCTCCTTGGGGAGTTGGTAAAAAAATCCCCCCCCCACCTCCCTTCTCTTGTACTTTCAGCAGCACTCCTCTGTTTGTATTATAGCTTACTTTACTGCCGGCCTGTGTATCCATGCATGTTTATAGGCTGGAGGAAAATTAAATAGTACAGTTGGGTAATTAACTAGTGTTTATTGGAAAGGAAAATGTTAGTCAGACTAAATATTTCCACTAATTATGCATGATTTATGGAGTCTAAGTAAAGGCCTTGTATTGCACCAAAATGAAGCTGTCCTGTACTTTGTGTAAATGAGTGGTTTCGGTGTATCACTGTGTTGTCTCCATAATCAGAGACCTCCATGACCTAGATTGAGTTGAGTTTGTAGACAGCCTCTGAGGTGCTGAACTGAGCAGCATGTCTGCTAGACTGTTGGCTGAACCCCTTCTAAACCCACAGACAGTATTAACTTGAACCACCTTTATTCTTTGAAAGAAAAATTGCCCGGCACTATGATATTCCCAAAAGGGCCTTCAAACAAGCCTTGTTTTTTCACGATTCTGAATGTTTCTCTCTCTGTGGTATCCCCTTAAGGTTTCTGCTTTCTCTCTGGAAAGACTGCTAGAGCAGGATTATCAGTATAACCACAAGCTGCCTTTACTTCTATTCTAAGATATAAAACCTAGTCAGGATGTCCTGCCTTTCTATGTTTATATAGGTTTTTTTCTGACAGGAAGTCAAAAGTTTAGTGTGACACAGTTCAAATAAGGTAAGCGAAATTGTGTTTATTTGGATATTTAACCACGGTTAGTGGAGGAGGAGATCTGACTCCCGACAAGCAGATCAGAGCCCAGCAGGTTTGAGTTAAAATAAATCAGGGTGAGCTGGTGGATTGACCCGTGGTCTGCTTTGGGCATCATGAAAAGAGAGGACTGGATCTGAAGATTTTCTCACAAGGTCCTCACTGTTGAAGTCTCTATTGAAGCTTCTTTTGTTGAAATGTTTAACTTTAGTCAAGCAATTCTTAAACTTAAGGCACCAATCGGTTTGCTTTTAAAACAGATTATGTATTTTCCTTTAACATAATTTTCTTCTCCAACCAGTTATCCCGTCTCCATGAGGTGCTGAGGAATGAGCAATCGCCATGGAAACCCAGTCCCAGGCCAGTTCAGCAGCTGAAAAGAAGAAGAGGGTGGAGACCATTGTGGCGACCAAGGGCTCATCAGCGCGCAATGACATCAGCGAGAAGGCGGTGGCCTCCAGCACCACCTCAAACGGTACGTGTCACCTCTAACTGCACACTCAGCCGCTCTGGTTAATGTACATATCATTTTGGTCTTTGGAATACACCCACTCTTGGAGAGGCTGGAGCATTGATCAGCTTACCAGTTGAGTAATGGGAATGTAATGGAGCCAAAAAGCATGAGTGAATGTGATGATTATAGGGGATTGAGCACATAGAAATTATATCACTTCACAGGCGACCTTCAGGTGTTTCTTCACCTGAAAAAGTAAAAAAAATAAACAATGTATAATACACTTTCCAATCTTAAAAACCCAGCAACACCGTCATATTAAGTAAGTATTTTTAGTAAGGGTTTTGCTGGTAATTTAAAACATTTTTTCATCTGAATTAACCTTGTAGGTAGTAACATGCCATTATAAGTTGAATCTATTTTTATCTGAATGTTTATTTAAAGGTGGGGTAGGTAATTTTAGAGAAACCAGCTCGAGTGCGCTAGAATTTGAAAATACACAGCCGGAAAAAATCTGCCACGTGCTTTTTACCGTACTACGGCTTCCACAGATTACATTTTTGTATGGATTTTTTGTCAAAGCGCTTAAGATATTCATTGCTATCGGGATGTTAAGAGCATTCCATGGAATATAACAAAAAAGTGTATCTCGAGCCGGTTTCTCAAACTTACTTGCCCCACCTTTAAGTCACAATGGCTTGCAGTAATTAATTGTCAGGCATGTTCCGATGTTTTCTAAACATCTGTGAACTAGAGACAGATGTGTGGTAACCATACATACCAACCAGCCTGTCCTCCTCCAAAATACGACCAAATAGGTAGATTGTTCAGCAGCTTATTACGACCTATAGTCACGTTTTAAAGTTTAGCACCTCTAGTGGTCGTGTAGGAAACAACAATTTGCGGCATATGGTCTAATGTCTCGTTGATTGCAAACGCTCCGGAGGGTCGTTTATTCACAAATAACCCTCTCTGGAAAATCCTAAATTGTAGAATAGTTTGGCCATTAAAATGCTTTTTGATTAGATTTCTAGCGAGAAGTGTATATTGTACTTTTAGAATCCAGGTCCAGTGGATGTGAAGGATCTATAGTTTGATAGATATTACGAAGATGATTTGAGGTCTCGCTAGGAGAACGTGTATATACTACGTCTTTCCCCTATTCATTTCTATTGACGGCAGCGTCCATGTAAAGTTGGCGTCAACCCTCACAGGGTGAAAACAGTATTTCCGGTCTCGAAGTTTTCATAATAAAACCGGAAGTATTCCCCTCACTGTCAACTGATTTTACAGTGATATCTGCCGTACTCATCCACTAAAAAACTTCAGTTGATTCAGAGAAAACAAATAGTTTTTTCGGAGTTTAGGATGGCCGAAGACACTACACTACCCATAATCCTCAGCTATCGTCTGGGACTACAACATCCGCTTTGCTTGACAAACCCCGTGATTAGTCCTCAAGCTCTGTGATTGGATGTTGGAGTGGCAGTGCGCCAAGGTTACGCCGAGCGTCAAACAGCTCTTTGAAATGGAATGAAACCACGGCAGACGATCCAAAACTGGACTCGAAAGGGTCCAGCCCCACCCCCCAGAACTACACATGCTGGCTAATTGTGTTTCGCAACATGTTGTATGGCACGTCTCTACTGGGAATTGTAGTTTTAAAAGACGTTTTCGTATTTCCCATAATTAGAAGTTGCCAGTATTAAAATCACATTTTAAACATATTGCTTTTGTCCATAATGGGCAGCATTAATATACCCACATGACAGCTATGGTCAGAATAGCTTTATTTAATAGCTGGTCTTATGTCTGTGATCCCTCCTGTTGTTAATTGATGAGCCTGAAACATGCACTTGTCAAGGTTCAGAGGCACATTTTGCAAATATGGCATTAGCCATCGATCATCTTAAGATAAGATATACTTTATTGATCCCAAGTTGGGAAATGTTTTTGTTACACCAGCATGTACAACATGCAATTTATTGTTACTTTGTAATTCTACTCCACCACAATTCAGAGGTTAACCTGGTATTTTTACTCCACTACATTTATTTTAGTTACTTTGCAGATTCTGATTAATGATGTGAAATATAACCCTTAAATCAGACTTTAGTTACACCTGAGTAAAATTCAGGGAAGGTGATTGTCAAGTGCCAAAATAAACTATGCAATATATTAGACGTTAAGTACTTTGTCAGGCTTAATATTTATCTGTAGATACCCCCAAAGTTTTTTTCTTATTCAAAAGAAGACCTTAAAGTATTCTTTAATGTTTAAATAAAGCCTTATTAGTTTGTCTGTTTTGCACATCTTCCTATTAATATCTAAACTGTTTTATTGTAGAGATCACTATAGTATATTCTTGATATTTTATATTCTATATTTCTATCATTGACCTTCTACTTTCCCCCTATTTTGTATATAGGCTACTCTTAATATTTAAATTGTTTCATCAAATATAACATATTCAACAAAAAAATTAAATAACGTGCTTTAACCACTAGGCGTTGCGGGTTAAAAAACTGTCAAGTTTACAGTGTTAATAAATTATACTTTCCAGTATAGAAAGGTATATCTGTCATTTAAAGGTCCCATGTCATGCTTTTCCGGTTATTACTCGTCTCCTTGTGTGTTATGAAGGTTTTTATGCATGTAAACGGTCTACAAAGTCACAAACCCTCAAAGTACACCCTGTAGCGAGTAAAACTCTAACACAGAAAAGACCTGTCTATGCTGCCCCAGAACGCTTCGTTGGAGATTTCTCTTTTTCCTCCTGGGTACAGTGACGTTCCCATACCCACGTGACCAATCCGTGGAGCTCCTCACACACACGCTGGGGGGGTGCGGGTGCTAGTGGAGCCTCGCAGATGGGGGTGCTGCAGCCCCCTCAGCATCCCCACCTTCCCGCGTCCATTCGCGATGTCTCGCTGTCTCACAGACCCCACGCAGCAAGCAGGAAATGAACCCAGCTCACACTCACAACGTCCCGCCAACACGGCACCCAGACCCCATGCAGCATTCTCATCTGTTTGTCATTACTGGTGTCATTTTCTGGTTGCTAACGCCATTGTAACACATAATCACTGATGTTCCGCTGTAACGGTGGTGATCTCATCAGAACAGAGTGGGCGAGCTGACCAATCAGAGCACACTGGGCTCAAAGGGAGAGGGGGGGCAGGAGCTCCAACAAGCCGTTTAGGACAGAGAGTGAATACACATACTATACAGAGATGCTGTATGAGAAACCAAAGTTTGGAAAATTGCACAATATAAATCTATTCTAGTATACCTACTAGTTCATTTTTCCACTTTGTTGTGTTGCTTTAAGTCTTGGAAACAACATGGTCACTTAGATTTTTCATATTTCTTATTGCTCGCAGCATTTATAAGACACACTTAAAGCTGTTTCAGAGATTTTTCCCAACTTTGAGTTGTGTTGCCATGAATTTTCCCTATTGGAAACACATTTTTGCGGACTTTTCCGACTCCAAATGAATAAAACATTATTTATGTATTAACTTTGTGATTTGGATCCGCTCCAAAATGTAATGGGTGAGAGACAAACAGAGAAAACAAATAAACAGACAAGCTGAAAACGTGCATGAACCCTTGCACATGTTACTTATGTTTACTTTCCCCCTATTCTTGTGGTGAGTCACATTCAATTCTCGCTGGTAGCAAAACTCTGGCATGTTTACATAGCAATGTCTTCAACACATGCTATTAAAAGCTGTGTGGAGCTTACAGTTCATCAAGCCTGCCTCCATTTAGCCTTTCATTCTTAATTCAGATGCTGGAATGAGGAATATTAGATGCAATATTTTTTTTTGGTTTGGCTAGAAAGCCTCAGAGCATCAAGCTGAAGTCATAACAAAACCAGAGTTGAGATCACCGCGGCTTAAGCTGCAGCTGTGCTCATTAGCAGTGAGAGGATTTGGAGGTTTTTGGGTATGGAGGTTTGGCACTAGTATCCGGAGCTGGTAAGGGGAGTTTACCCCATCCCCCTTCAACTATGCTGACGTCAAATGGGATCATCCCAAGTGTGAAGAGGAGACAAACAGTGCAGGAAAGGGTAAATAAGTTGCTGTGACTTGCTCCCCATATGGGAGTTATCACAGGAAGTGGGTAAGGTAATGCATCTTTAAGCGTCTTGGGGAAACTCTCACTCATTCCCAGATGGCCAGCACACTTTTATTAATTAAAGGGACAGCGAGGAAAAAAAGAAGTTTGTTGTGGAAAAAGCATGGATGTAATTTGGCACTGTGATTGTGGATTTTTCTTCGTAATGTGCTGGTAATTACAGGTTTTAACAGCATAAGGTTTGTCTCCTGAGCCACGTCAGAAGAGAAAGTTGTACTCCCTTGAATACAGTAGTCTTATAATTCACTTGACGAAGGGAGGGATGATACTGATCTGCGGAGAAAGGTCCCTTTTAGATCCCAATCTCTCTCTCGGATTCAGACGATAGCTTACACATTCTTTGTTTTGTTATAATTACAGCACATTCCCAAGTCGCCCCTAGAACTCATAACCTCTTATCAGGTGTAACCCTACACTCGCTTCAACTTTAACCCCCGTAGCCCCTGCCCCACCGCTCCATGCAAACAAAAGGTAATTGTGAGCAGCTGTGGAACCCCAGTGACTGGTTCTTCTTAGGAAGACCCGGGCGAAATATTTCCCCAGTCAAGCAGAGGAGCGGCCCCTGATCTCAGCATGTAGGAAACCCTGTGCTTCACCAGGCAACAGCATGAGTTGTGAAAAGTTGAAAAAAGTAGGGATGGCAGGTGGAGTGGTGGATATTTATTTTCCAAAGCAATCTTTCCTATGTGATTGGGCTCAGTTTTGATCAGATTTGAAGCTGGTGTTCGGATTAGCAAACTGCGCTTTTGTCTGGAAACAGATTACGCTCTAAAACTTTCCCTAAACTTCCACTACATACTTCTCTTCCTCAACTCTGCCTTCCTCTCTTGGCCCTAGTATGTAAGTTTTGTCTAAGTTGAGCAGGCCCAGAGTAATTA